TTTTTTTGAAAATGTTTAAAGTAAAATAACTCCAAAATAACTAACGTTATAACGTTATTTTAGACTTATTTGAAAAACGATAAAGAGAAAATATGTTTCTTTTATCGAGATCTACCACTTCTTAAAATACTTGCACTTATTGCTGGGACACCCTGTATATAAGTTGTGTGTTTAATTAAATAAATTTATAAGTTCATATAATAATATAATTTTCTTCACAATGCATTACAAAATCGTATTTAATATAAGGCAGCTAAATATAATTTTGGATTATCTAATACATTTTTACAGTTACTTTCAATTTAATTGAAAATATAAATATTAGTGATTATTGCAGATTGTTTTATTGCCATATAGGAAGTATTTCCAATCAAGTTTATACTTTCTTGTCGATATGGCAACACAGGGCGTCGAACAAGCTGAGAGCCGGCTAATTGCCGTTTGAGGCCGGCGGTTCTCAAGATGTAAGCATTATTTTTAAAATGTTTGAAGTTAAATTTCTTGGTTATATCTAATTTGTTTTAAAAATGGCAAAAAGAAAATATGTTTTGTTTGCTCTGATCTGTCACGCTACTTATTTGAGACACCCTGTACACCAGGAATTTCTGGAAAAAATAATGAAAAAAACTCAGTGTCAAAATATACTATACTACCAGTTCTGATATCTGAACTTATTAAAGAAACTTCCTGATGAGTTGTGATATTTTTACTTTTCTACCATAAATATTTACTATAATAATTATGAAATTTTTGCAGTATTAGTTTTTAGAAAGTATGCGAAATTGCGTAAAATGCTAAAACGACGCTACAGAACGTTGTAAACTACGAGAAAGTAAAAAAGCGACAATTTACATAAGAAAATACTCTTTGTGTATAGTAATTAGCTTCTCTATTCCATTGTGATATCTAGCGGTGTAGCGTTGCTACCGTGTAAGCCCTTCGACTTGCATTTTTCTCATAGGGGTCAACGGTTCTTCACCTTGACACGCCAAATACCAGAAGGCAGCTATTTTTTATGCATCGCGTGGAAGCAGTCGATAGTCGTCTCGTCGAGAACTGAAGAATTTACGCTACAGAGCCACTTCGTGTCCAGTCTCAGACTTTAGAAAATTATTTTTAACCAAAACCGATTTGTTTTTAACATTATTTTTCCTGATTTCTTATCTGGGAATGTGGAATTCATGGCAGACCTGATAAGCAAAGACAGAAAGACAATCAAAGCGGTAGTGTGTCTACTAACAGGGCATTGTAAACTTAATATGCATCTAAAGCTGATGATGGACGAAGAAAGCCATGTGCAGATTTTATCAATCTGAAGAAGAATCGACAGAACATATTTTATGTCGATGTGACGTGACAGCCTGGAAAATGTGGGATTCTTTGTATTAGGCAACGATATGCCTTTGATAAACAGCTATATGTAGGGTTCAGTGTCCAAATTACTAGACTTTTTGAAAAGGATAGGACTGAAGAATGTAACCTGAATAGTGGGACGGGATAGTGATCTAAATATCTGCTCTAATCAAGCATGCTTAGTAACTATTTTTGAAGCCTCCTATGATTTATAATAATAATCTCAGTTTAATTCAAGTCTTGAGTGATTTTCAAAGTTGTACTCTTTGGAAAAAAAAACAATCATAAATTAAACCCAGAAAAGCAAGCCTAAACAAAACTCAACACAAAAATTGACGCCGGGAGGCACGTATAGCCGCCCATACTAAAATATGTTAATAAAAAGTAAAGGATTTTTCCAATTTTTTTTTAACCAATCTCAAAAACTGCGACTTTGACTGATTTTGATGTTATTACAAATTTTGTTGCAAATATTATTCCTAATCTTAAATTGAAAACCGCATTTCGCTAGCTACTGTAATTTTGGAGTTACGATTTTTTTATAATTTTAACCCCCTCCCATACCCCCTTACCAACCCCCCACGGACAGACGGACAGACAGACAGACACGATGAAAATATTTTGTATTTAGGTCACCCAAATAACTCATTTTGAGTGAAATTAAAAAACTTTTTTTTTGTCGATCTTAATAGCCTACCATACCTATTGGTATGGTCGGCTAAAAATTCAAGTCAGTTTCAAATGTGTCAAGTGAAACGTCAAACAAAACTCAAAATGGCGTACCATGACATCAGTTTCGTCTCTATGCATGAATTTTAAACTTTGAATGTAAAGATTAAGGAAGGAGTATAATGCTATCGTTCAGTCAGTTATTCATAAGAGAATGAGACGGAATCGACATCATAAACCCCCTTTTTGACAGTTGTGTTTGACATTTCAATTGACACATTTCTTGAAATTGACTTTAAATTTGCGGATTTATTGTGCTTTTCTGAGTTTAGGATTTTTCTTATTACATATTTATTCTTTAACAGATTTTGTTTGTAGGTTAGAGATAGTAGGTAAATTTAAAAGGATATTGTGTCAGAACTTAAATTAACGGTGACATTATTGCGAATTAGAGAAAAAGGCTATAAAATTGTTATAGTTCATATCAAATAAACTTTTAGTCACGTGAAGCTTGATCGGCAGTGTTGCCCACTTTTATATATTTTCTTTTAATGAAAATATTTTAGGAAACAAAAATAAATTGATTATAAATATATAAACAGTTATTATTTACATCAACAAAACTCACTTTATTAACAGCACTTAAGGGACATAAAGGGCCAATACTGCCGCTTTCCCGTTCAAAATATTCTAATAAAGTTGCAATGAGTTTTTACGGCTATTAAGCTATCTTGTACACTTTGCACTAAAAGAGGTTTTAAAAAGAACAATGTTCGACTACAAGATCTGCTAGTAAACATTTTTAAGCTTAAAGTATCACAAAACTGATTATTTAAACCAAAAACTCGTAATACAAAACTGAAGTGTCAAAACGAATCACAGTCAGAAAATAAATAAATAAATGCGGCAACTTGACATTTTTGACAGCAGAGCTACCATCTGAATCTCCAGCGCGAAATTTAATTCCAGTTAGTCAGCAAGGCGCCAAATATGTCCACGGTTGGCAACAATGAATTTAAACATCGCACACTCGATTATGTAACTAAAAGTTTAATTGATGTCAAATCGGATTTGATGTCGGTCAAAAATCGAGATAAATAAGGAATAATTTTCAAATAACTATACAAAATATGCAGGGTGAGTCTTAAATAAGTCCAAATACTTTCATGGCCGGTAGATCCAATACCACCTAGACAATCTTAATATCTAGGTGGTATTGGTAGATCTCGATGAAAGAAACAAACATGTATAGTCCAAAATAACAGATATTTTACTTTGAAAATTAAAAAAAAATGTTTTTTTGCTTAAATTTTGTAAACCACTGGATCTTTTCTGGGTTTTCTTTCTTGTACATTTAATATGGCAACATACTATACATACATACTATGTTGCTATATTATCAAAAAATTCCAAATTTTCAAAATTTTTTGCTAACTAAAAGAACCTCATAGACGTGTTTCTGGCGCAGAAATGTACTACCCCAAAAAATATTTGCACTTATTTAAGACCTCATCCTGTATAATGCACTTTACGTGTAGTAAAACAATCACTTATGAAATTTAATTAACTACATAATTATATATATTTTCTTGTATTTGCGCTTTTATTTGCAGTTTGTTAAAAATAATTAGAATACGTGAATTTGACTCAATTTTAATAACTAATATCATTTATTGAGAAGGTAAAATAATACCAACCCATTATTAAGTTATTTTTGTGAGATTTTCTTCATTATTGACCTTAAATCTTCCGAAAATACATCAATAAACGTGTCATTAACAGATGTAAACATTAAACGAAATCGAAATATAGATTTAAGTCGTTATCTTTGTCGACAATTCGACGGATCATTACACTTCCCGAGTAGACAAGCAACTGTTGACCTTTCTGTCGAAATTTTTCCTGCCGGATGCTGAACCTCGATTCTGTGTTGGTGCAGTTCAATGCAATGCAATAAGTATCGTCTGGGCCAGGCCTTATCTTTCGATTTGCTTCGGAAACTGATAGTGGAGCTAATACGTTTAAATGACATATCTATTTAGTATTATTTGCTTGATATTATCTGGGGGTGAATGCAAACAAAATGAAAGTTGTGTAATAGCGGTTTTATATCTGGACCTGAACTACAATCAGGGTTGGGTAGGTAGAAAATTTTACATATTCTACCGTATTTTCTGCTCATAGAATATTAATTTTCTACACGAACTAATTGTCTACATTTTCTGCATATTGAAAGCCATTTTTGATGTTTATATTTGTTTTAAATGCTGTAACACAGTGAGTAGCAGCAACAAATAGATTAATAACACAATTATTATACTAATTGTTATTTATTATTTAACAAATGGATAATGTCATAAAACCTTAACCATGAATTTTTATATTATTTGAAATAGAGATGGTCTGTCCAATAGGAGGATCCTATAGTGACTTGTTGTGATTCGTTGAGAGATTATAGTATTTAACAAAAACTATTTTTCAATAGTAAAACTGAAACAGAAAAAAAATTATAACACCTAACATAATGATAAAAATAAGAACTACGAACTATAATATAATAATACACTGTATACATAGTGTATAAAACCAGGGTTCTTTTATAAAATTGAAAAAAAAGAAACAAAACTTGTACTATAAAATCAGACAGATTTAACACTTACAGAATTTAAAAAAAATACCCAGGAGGAAACTTGTAAAGGGAAAAGACAGCTTTAAATATACAAAATTTAAACGTAACCTAACATGTACTCGGATTTTATACATTTTCTACTTAATATTCTACATATTCGATATTTTCTACGCGTTCTTCTATACCTACTATACCGTACTTCTATAGAAAATTAATTTTCAATTTTTTTTGTCGTTACCCCACCCTGTCTACAATTTATTTGGCTGTGTAAAATGACTGTTTGACGATCTCAAATAAATTTAACCGCTTGTCAAAGAGTAACACATTAATATTTTTTTGTTTGTTTTAGGATCAATACGACAATCTTTCAACGCATACACTGAAGGGCATCGAATTTTTAGAAAAATACGGTCATTTCGTCAGAGATCGAGCCCTGATAGAGTCGGAATATGCTTCGAAATTAAGGTAAGTAGCTCAGACAAATAATATATGAGGATTGACTTTTTTGCATATACATTGGGACACCTTATATTTTTTTTTTTAAGTGAAAAGAACTTAAAATTGCCTTTCCAAAAATATAGCATACTTGATACACTTTTAACTAGTAACGATCTACCTCTAAGTTATCAGCAAATTTTTGCAGCCAATTTTGAGAATAATTAAATAGCTAAGCAAGGTGCCAAACGTTGGCCGTCGAGGCCGCCGGATTTGGTGCCTGTTATCCTTAGTGGATTTTTATCTTTGCGGATGAATAAAGATTCTTATTTTTAAATTGCTCGCATAATCTAAACAAGAATTAGAAGTACTTAGCGATTATGCGAGGGTATCTTTCAGCCCCGCTGAGTTAATGAATTCCGCGAGAAATGTTCAAAAACGGTCCCGTCTGTCCACAACAGGTCGACATGTCGAACACTTGTAGCAAAATCACACGTCGTGGTTTGCTATTAATTTTTATTGTTATTAGATATAGTTTAAATGTGTTAATGTTGATGAATATAGTTTAAATTGTTATAAAATTCTGCATCTCTCATTGCAAATATTATTTTCCTTTTAATTGTTACTCAAAGCTAGAATTTTTTTGCATTACAGCTGGCGCCTTTCAAATCCTACTTATTCAAAGTGGGCGATCTTTTAAAAACTCTATACCTCGAAGAGAAATGGAGCAAAATATCAAGTATGCTATATTTTTGGAAAGGTAATTTTAAATTATTTTCAATGAATTAAAAATATACTGGGTGTCCCATATAAAAAATCAAATTTTCGGTTGATAATTTTTAATTTATTAATTTTAAAAAAATTATACGTAAACCATTAAATTCTACTTAAAAAGGTGATTTGGAAATATTTTTACAAAAATACAAAATTTTCCATAGCAAAAAAGTTACAGCGACTTGTTAAAAATACACATTTTTGAAAAACACCCCGCAACTCCGAAACCTGTACTGTTTTTTTTTCTACCTCAATATGCAAAATATAAAAAACTAGATTATTTTTTTATCGAATATCATTTGTTTAGGCAGTTTTCGTCTTTCAAAACTTAATTTGCCAACACCACAGTTGTTTAATTACATGTTAAGGCCTTAAATCTTTACTTTGTTTACATTTTTAAGTTTCATCTATTTTTTGTGTAAAGGCTGTGCTGGGATGTTGTGAGACTATATTTTTATCAAAGTAAGTTAAAAATTCTGTGTGATGGAAAGGATCAAGTACGTTATTTGTGAAATTTTCAACAAAAATAAAAGCATAACTTCCACAATTTGGTATTTAGGACGTCGTAATTTAGATAAATCAGCAAATATAGGTAATGCAGGACGTTCAAAACAGTTTTCTTATTGCAATTTGCGCCAAGATTGCCAGTTTAATGAAAACAGCAGCTGTGTTCGTCTTATTGTACATCGGAGACGATCCCTAACATTTAGAAGTGTCTTTTATCAGGCTTTATTATACAATCTGACCAGTGACACATTCCGTATAGCGTGTTTCTCTCTCAGATCTTCGTGTGAAACGCCTACCAGTCACGAAACAGTTTTGCAAACCGAGTTATCGTGCTGTAACATCCATTGTTTCGACGATATAAACCGAAGACGAACAGAAATATTATAACTAGTGACGTAAGAATGAATTAGGCTATTTCACGGGAACGAAAATTTAAAGAGTTGTAGATATAGTCGAAATAATTAGGCTGTCGTTAATGAATTTGTCATTTGTCAACCAATTTTTTCTCGTTTGAGATGTCCTTAGTTACCATACCTTATATTGACTTAATGGTGGGAAAAAAGTATGTGTATTTGTATGTCTGGACCAAATCTTGCGAGCTGAATTAAAACCACTTCCTGAGGTTCCATTGGGCTGAAATTTGGTGTACTACTATATCTTGTGTAAGAACTCTATTTTTCTATGCTACGTTTTCTTTATCTGACGTAAAATAAACAAACATTTTAAAGGAGAGACGCAATGGGATTCTGAACGTAAACAAAAACAAGACTAAAATTCGTGGCACCTGCACTTTTCAAAAAGGTTTCAAATAACACTCAATACAGTATCGCCGTCTAAAACAGTATTAGACAGCGTCAGAGAAAGAAGTGGTACACGCTTATTAAATTAAAACTATTAAAGTTTCTGAGATTTAATTAAGGTTTTGTGGTAGTTCTGAGTTCCAATGCCGTGCCGAATAAGAAGTTTAATTAAGGTGAGTTTATTTTATCTCACTGAGCAACTAGTTGGTTAGGTACTGTTTTTATTGTGATATATTATATTTCGGAATCTCAGATAAATTTTAAGATATTTGATTGAATATAAAGAAAAGATAATTTACAGATGATAATATTGAAGTATTTCTTTATAGTGAGTTATTTATATTTGTCTATGTGACTTTAACAGAAGATAAGAATATATTTGTGTATTAATATTATCAAATTGATCTTGATCTTGATTATTTTTATTTTACTTTATTATTTTCTATAGTTAGCCTTGAAGATTAGTTAGTCCTGTAGCGTAGTGTTGACAAGTAGTTAGTCCCGTAGCGTAGTTAGCCCCGTAGTGTAGTTTGACTATTAACTTATGTATTTTTTTAGCCTGCGTGGCATTTTGATAGCCTGTGTGGCTTGTTTTTTAGCCTGTGTGGCATTTGATAGCCTGTGTGGCATTTGATAGCCTGTGTGGCATTTTGATAGCCTGTGTGGCTTGTTTTTTAGCATGTGTGGCATTTGATAGCCTGTGTGGCATATTTTTTTAAATAGTCTGTGTGACTAGCCTGTGTGGCATTTTATTATTTTATTTAAACTTATATTTTTAGGTTGGACTATTAATAAATTATTCAAGTACCTGTTTAATTTTAAATTCACTTTATTTTAATAATAACTGGTAACATTGTTGCTCACACCATGTTTTTTCTTTAATTGCAGGTAGGGCATCTCGGTAGCCAAGTCATACAAGACTTTTGTTGCTATACAACATTTGTCCATTTGCAGCGCCCAGATCAAAGTTCGCTATTACCATTAGTAACGTACCATCTATTAGTATTGTTTTTATTTTATATTGTTAGTTGTCTTTTATTATACAACATTTACGCCCTTAAATTTGTTTTATGGTTTTTTATTTTTAAGTTTGAGTTGAAAGCTTGAAAAAAAACTTTTTGGCCCTTACACTTGATTGTACGGTGAAAATGGCATTACGAGGGTTGTCTTTTATATTTGGCATATAGTGGTAGAAAAAGAAAACAGTAGATACATTTTAAACACTATTCATGTTTGCATCCGTTGGAACCAATTTTGAAATCAGTTTTTCCACTCGCTTGTTGGTACCTTCAAAATGCCGTTTTGAAGGCGCTGACAACATCTTCTGAGAACTGGAATCTTTGGCCACGCAGTTCACTCTTAATTTTTGGAAAAGTAAAAAACTCGTTAGGACTTAGGTCGGGACTGTATGGAGAATGGTCCAACAATTCGATGGTTTCTTTCTTTAAAAACTCAATTGATTTTCGAGCTGCGTGGGAAATTGCATTGTTTTGGTGAAGGATCATTCGTCGTTGAGGGTTGGTTTTTCGAAACTCAGCTGTTACTTCCGGCAAACAAATAGATATGTATGTACCAATCAGCAGTAACAGTTCTTTGATTTGTCAGAGGAATTGTTGCTATATGACCCATTTTTGTGTCAAATGTCGCCACCATCTTTTTGGAAACACTTCGAGAACAGTAGAACGGATAACTTTCATTGATTTTGGTTCGTCTTGGAACACCCAAACAACCGATTGACGTTTATTTGCGGGTTCATAAGAGTAAATTCAGGATTCATCACCACTGACTATATTGTATATATTTTTTGAGTTATGCGTTAAATCGGTGTAGATTTTTTTGACACCAATTGACACTTAATTACTTTCTGTTCTTCTGTTTTTACAGATAATTCTTCATGTAAACTTTGGTTATGGTTTATGTGCTTATGGTTTTTGAAATGACCATTAATATTACAATTTCACGATATATGTGACATGTGTACATCATCTTACGTAAATACAAGCTTGCATTTATTATTTATTTAAATAATTTCTCTTGGTTTTGCAATTTTTCTTCATGAATTTATTCAGTTAGAAGAAAACACTAATTTTGTATTTCAGATAATTATTCCTACTCGTTTTAGATTGTCGTAACCATTAACCATTCTACTATATTCATCACGTAACTTTGCGTAAACCTCCTACACACTAAGTTCTACATAGATAACATAAGTAATTTAAAGAAATTCGCTAATTTAAGTCAAAATGCGTCGATAACTGACCAGTTTGCATTCAAAGTGTGTCCGATTTTACGTAACAATCGAGAATTTTAAGAGAAATTAATTGTCCATTAGGCACTTTCTCTGCCACCTCGAGTCACGTAAATATACGCAAAAAGTGGATATTTGTTTGTTTTTTCTGTGCTACTGCTCGATTTTGTATAATGAGTTATTGTGGTAGGTTGAGTTCATGCTTATTCGTTCACGGAGAGCTTTAGTTTATATCGAAACAGGAAATACATTGCACGATATGGCAAATTGCTTTTTTGCATATCCTGTAATTTTCAGTCAGCATTAGCAATAGTAAATTAGAGACGCATATTTTATCCTGAAATTTAGAAAAAAAAGCTGCATAAAATGGAGTATTTGGATTGACCTCCATACGTATATTTATAGCCTTGAAATATATAGTTACTCAGAATAGGTATGCTTAATTTTACTGTTTAGCAACGTTAAATGTATTTTACAAAATAATAGTAATGGTTATATAATATAAAATTATATATCAGTTGATTAGGGCATTCAATCCCGGGATCCCGGACATTTTTTCAATCCCGAAATCCCGGGATTGTCTTTTCTTTAATCCCGGGATTTTCGGCATTCATCATTACATTTTTTCCTTAATTTAAATCGTACACAAGTCTTTCATGATAGTACAATATGCGCTTATAAATAACCCTGAATGTTTGATC